CCAGGGTGAGTGGAAAAGAAACCTGGCTATCCCAGTCCTGGACTGGTTGGCCTGTGGTTCACAAAGGGAGAAGCAGAAATGGTGAACCTGCCTGGGAAAGCTCTGGGTGGAGGCCCAGGCTTTTGGTACAAGAATAGCAAGTTTCCAGTCCCAGTGCTGCCATACGGATGTGCTCCATTAGGACTGGAAAGGATTGTGTGGGTCATGAACTAGCTCTCTGCAGTTGCAGGCAGACATTTAATAGATTGTCTGGGACCCTTTCCAATTTGGTATCTGTTCTGTGTGTCACCCCAGTCCACCAAGTACTTCCTAATACCCTATGATTAACATAACCTTTCAAGAAGGGACTGAAATGTGTGACTAGCGTGCTGTAGGAGATGAGCTGGAGAGAAGGGCAGCATTACCATGGTCCCTGATTTCAGGGATACTGCTGAGAAAAAGTCCCCTGTGATGCCTGGAAAGGGAACCATGCTACAGGTGACATCAGAGAAATGCAACAAGTAATCCCAGTGGTCCCTGATGTTGATCTTGGGGAAAACCCTGCCAGATTCCAAAACTGGAGACTGTTTTATTCCTAAGTATGTGATGAAGATGCCCCAACCAGGGTCCTGCAGATGCAAAGCCATTTACAGCCCCTGAGCAGCATCCTGGATCAGGGTGAGCAGCCTGCAGTGGTGGCAGGAGTCTGCCCCTCTTCCTTCCACACTGGAGCCCAGCACATGCCCCTCTCCTGGTAGGTCTTGCTTCTGGCACAGCCCTTCCCCCTTTACCTGCTCCCCAGGGGACTGGCATCTTCTGTATTTCTTTAAGGCTGGAATCACTTTATCTGGAGTAAGTCACTTTTGCTAGGTGTCTAGAGTCCTTGAGAGGGTCCTCCCTGCTGCTGTATTGGGAGCCTAGTGAGCAGCTTGTTGTGAAAGTCCCTGTGCAGTACCAGGCTCCCTGGGGATGGATGGACTCCTCTGAGCAAGTGGGTTTTAGCATATCCACATGCACAAGGCATATGGATTCCTCCTAGCCCGGGACAGGCCTTAGCAGCCAGGGGCAGAAGTACCTATAGTGCCCTGTCTGCTGCAGCAAACCTGGGTCCTGCGCCAAACATTGGCTGTGTCGTACCCAGTACCTTCACATGGTGGTTAACTTTAGCACTGTCCCATCAGCTTTCTAATACCCATCTGAAATTGTAATTCACTGGCTGATCAGAGGCTACCCAAGAGGGATTGTGGGATAATCTGCATAATAATATTGTGGAATTAGTCAACTCCTGAAGAATATCTGAGCAGCTGGCTATAAGCCATAAGTGAATATGAATTAAATATGTAATTAACATCTTTCAAATAAATGTCAGTGGTAGGGCTCAAAACACCCATCTGTTGAGTTTCTTCCCTTGTGCACCACCTTTCTCCTTTTGGGAAAATACACTGGAGCTCTTCCCCAGATGCCCTCTGTGTCTTACCCTCCCAGTAGAATAAAGCTGTACTTCTTCCTTAAACACTGGTTATTTGTGTGCTTGGTTCAGAAGAGGAATCCTGCAAGGGGAGCTGCAGCTGCTTCTGCTCAGGAATAACATCTCTTGAGCTTGCTTCTTGCTCTGTGATGTGCAGATACCTCCCTCTCAACCATCTGTGTGTGGTGTGGGTTGGTTTGCACAGCTTTCCCAGGGAGCAGCTCAAGTGCAAAATCTGGGGGAGTGCAGCTCAGTAGGTCGCAGCCAGTTTGCTCAAACCTGGAGCTGAGTTCCCCTTACTGCAGCATGTGGAAAGTCATGAACAGCAGCAGAGAGGCCAGGGCTTCCTGCCTGCGTGCTTGGAAAGTCCTGCATGGGTTTTATGTGGCTAACATGGGAAAGGTCTGCTTGGCAACCATGGAGGCTCAGAAGCTGCTGCGTCCTGTCTATATTTAGTTTTAAACAAGTTCTGGAGGAGGGGGAAGGCTTTTGCTTGAGAAAGCATCCTGTTGCCAGGAGCACGCTGCAGCTGAATCGCCATCAGTGTTCGCCTTGAGTCGTGGCAAGGTGTGCACGGACAGTGTACATCTGGGGAAGAGGCTGAGCAGAGGCAAGAAGCCCTGTCATGCCTCTCATCTTCCTGCAGATGAGATTTTTCAGGCAGGGCAGAGCTAGGGATGGGACTCAAATCCCAGCGTTTCTGTGTTGGGATTCATCTATAGCATCGTGTCATCTTCCTCAAGTCATTCTCCATTTGCCTCTGTAGTCCTGGGCTTTTCAGAGAAGAAACAATTGTCATCTTCCCTGGGAGAAGCAGTTATGAATTGGCAAAGAAAGGTATCTGAGTCCAGATTCCCCCTTTGAGTGGGTGCTGAGTGCATGTATCAGCACCACGTGTCCCGTGGGTTACTGTGCATTCAGGCTGGTTGCACCCTGGAATGGTGCTTCGCAGTCATGCTTTGGGTCTTGGTCTTTCTGGGCATCTGCAGGCCTCCCCAGAGCCTAACTGTTAAAATTTTTGGTTATTGGTGGGTTTTCATGGTTTTGATTAACATAAGTCACATATATGTATGCAGTACTGGTTTGGGAGAAAGGGGTTTAAGCAGGGGACATGTCATTCATTTGGAGGGACACTTCCTTAGACTGGGAGTTTTCTGTTCCCACTGCATAGGGGAATTTGTAACCTCTGCATTTTTGGTTTTTCTTCCTCCTCAACATAGGCTACTTATTGACTAAGGGGAAAAACTGTCTGTCCAGCTGTAGAAAGCATTCAGACTGGCATCAGGGAATGCCCCTCATGAACCATTCTTGTTTCCATCACAAGTGCTTGTGAGGAAAGGAAAAACCTTCTTCACTTAGACCTTGCAGAGGTTTGCTGCCCCACTAAGGCAAGCTGAATGCAACCCTTGGGTTGGAGGAGCATGCCATGTCCCCGCTGTCCCTATGTCCCACTGCACTTATGCAGGTATAATGTGTGAGCAGGGCCCTGGCCCACATCATCTGCCTTCTGTGGGACCAAGGTGACACGTGTACCTCTTCCCAGAGCCCAGAGGTGACATCCCTGCCCCACCTGGGCAATGCGGTACACAGACCCTGAGCTCGGACCTGAGAGCAGGACATCCTTGTGATCATCTTTTCTCCGCCACTTCTGGTTGCTTTCCAAAGCTTGCCAGAGAAAAGGGAAAGGTCCTAGCATCTGCCTGGATGCTTTCACAAGAGGCTCTTGCTACCCCAGAGCATTAGGTAGTAAATGCAGCCAGGATATACTCTGATCCTCATCCTGGACCTTGGTGGGAGAACATGTTCCTATCTCCAGCTGCTGAGAGTTACTTTCTCCTTGGGTTTTTCTTACCATGTCTCAACCTGTGGTTGTGAAAGAGGAGGGTGATTTTCAGAGCTGATGGGGGACTCTTATCCACTTCCCAAGATCAGTAGATGAGACATTAGTGTGCATAAGGCAGAACAAAGACTAGTGGGAACTGTCTGATGCCCTCAATGATTTTATTGACCATCTATTTGCTGAGGTCCAAGGGGAGAGTGTAAGTGCAACTGGTTTGTTGCTTTCACTGGTCTGAAGTAAAGTAGCCCTGCTTCCTCCCCTGGGCTGGGGAAAGCAGTTTCTGGTGCAGATCTGTTTCTTCTACTGCTGATCTACAGGCTGGGGATCTGTGTGGTTGTGCTGGAAGGTGGTTTCTTCCTAATTGCAAAGGGCTGGGAAGTTTGGTGTCCTTGGCAGCTGTGGCCAAGGCTGAACGGTTCTGCGCTGCATTTCCTTGCAGCATGGGAGGGCAGCAGCGTCCCAGGGAGAGAGCAGGGAGGACAAGTGGGGGAGAGGCACTGTGCACCCCCTGTTTTTGTGAAACCTATGGGGTGCAGCTGGGTAAGCAGTAGGGCTGACACAGGCTGGAGAAGTATGTGAGGAGTGGGAAAACAGCGGAAACGGACAATGGACTCGGGCTTTGTGTCTGCACGTGCTGAAGGGCAAGTGCCTGGCACTGAGTTGCAGTGCTTTGTTCTGGGCAGTAGCAGCTTCCTGCAGGCAGGGATGCCGATGTGGCTGGGGAAGCACACCTTGCCAGCCCTGAGAGGCAGGAGAAGAAGGTGGGATGCTCAGGGAGGCCCCATCCCTGACCCAAACCCCAAAGTTGTGCCCAGGGCCGCAGGGACTGTTGTCAGGCAGCCCGAGCAGGTTCACTCTGGAGCAGTGCTGCATGTGGAGGCTCTCCAGCTGGGCTGGGGCTGACTCACAGCGCAGCGGTCACAGCCAAGTCAGGTCAGCCTGGCCTGGAGGGGAAGAGACGGTCTCTGGGGACAGGAATGCCGTCAAGTCTTCCAGCTTCTCAGGCAAACAGCCTTGCCCTTTGCCTGCTGGGGTGACCTCCTCTGCTAGGCATGCATTCCCCTCCCTGTTCCCTCTCACCACCGCTGTCTTCAGTGCTGTATGTGGAGGTTGCTAGTCAGGTACACAGTGGGTGGTTGAGCCAGCAGGGAGGTGGGAGCATGGAAAGAGCCACAAGCAGGCTGGGGGAGGCAGGCTGGGGCAGGCAAACCTCTCTTTGGGAAGCAGAACACTCAGTGGAGAGAGTATATGTGGTAACCGAGGCCCAGAGTGGCTCAGCTGGGTGTCTGTAGCAAGCCTGATTTGCAGGAGGTGGAGTAGCTCAGTTTGGCACCAGGAGCACCCACTTCTCCCCAAACAGTGGATGCCATGGGGCTGACATGCAGGGCTCCCACAGGCAGCAGAGCCCTCCCCGGCTGGCCTGACCTTGGCTCTCACTGGCCAGGGCAGGCGTGCTGGCTGCCAGTTAGTGATGCAGTTAACACCGCTGTGTTGCGCAGCCACCAAGGACTCGTATGACTAAGGAGAAGCAACTGAAGGCTTTGGGATTTGTCCTCCAAGCTGTGCTCTCATTTGTGTCGCGATGGCGGGGTCCAGCATGACCCTTGGCAAGCAGAGAGTCCCTGCTGGCCACTGGCACCCAGCCCACTACACACCGTGTGGGAGGTGCCAGTCCCTGTGTCAACAGCGCTTGTGGGGATCTTGCACCAGCAGTCAGAGCCACGTGGCTCTTCAGCCGCTGGCTCTGCAGTGCCCTTAGCCTTGCTGTGCCAAGAGGCACCAGGATATGCTCACAACTGCTCCTCCCAGCCCTGGCAGCTGTGGCAGAGATCCCTGATAAAGTCCCAGGGCTCTCTTCCCGGTGTCTTTTCATCCTGGGCTTTGTTTAGGGTATGAAGACAACCTGGTTCTGCCTCTCTGAGGACTCTCTCCCTCCCTGTGCCAGCTGTGGTGGGGTTTCTGGGCTGGACCAGGACTGGGGGCACCAAGGCACTGTAGCTGCCTCCCAGGGTGGAGGCTCAGCCTTGGTGCCACATGCAGCTCTGCTCCCTGGGGAGCTGCTGGGCAAGCTGGAGCTGGCCACAGGGCCCTGGGGGTGCAGCTGAACTTGGGCAGCAGCCGACTGGTTTTCTGTCGCCATTTGTGCCCAGAATAGGAGCTGTGAGTAGGCCATGGGGATGGAGGAGAGGCAGGCGGAGGGAGCAAGCTTGGTGCTGCTTTCACATTGAAGGGCCCCACGGTGATGCCTCTGGAGCACTTGTCCCTCCATGGCTTTGGGCTGTGCCTTTGAGGGGCCAAGAACTCTTGTCTGGATGTCCAGCAAGCAGCGTTCCAATCACTGTGGATGTTACCAGGGCACATTATCCCAGTGCAGCTCAGACACCACTTGCTGCTGACTTGCCTCCTTTGCTGTTCCTTCCCCAGTCCTCAGTATGCTCCAAGATCGTCCAGCTGCTGGGCCAGAACGAGGTGGACTATCGCCAGAAGCAGGTGGTGATCGTGAGCCAGGACAGCTTCTACCGGGTCCTCACCTCAGAGCAGAAATCCAAAGCACTCAAAGGCCAGTTCAATTTTGACCACCCAGGTGAATGGAGAACAGCATCAGGCCTCTGCCACGTGCTGGGGGGGTGAGGGCTGGAGCAGAATTCCCCCAGTCCACCAGCAGAGTGTTGTATGGACACTGAGACTCTGTCTCTGCATGGGGCAGGAGTGAGTGGCTTAGTTAAGCTCTTGTGGAGCTATTTGCATCCCTGACAGGGTGGCTGGGGGCCACCATGTCCCCTGCAGTACAGCCTCTGTCTCTTTTGGGAAGGAAACTACCTCTAGGGTGGAGTGTTTGGGATGAGAAAGAGCAGGTTGTGAACCCTTAAACTCCTTGAGCTGTTCTTCTTCTCCCTGTGAAAACATCCCCTGGTTTGAAAACCTTTCTGGTGCTGCTGGGTCAGGATCAGGGAGATCTGGCCTGGCACAGCTCCCTGGAGCCAACAGCCCTGTGACCCTCCTTCAAGGAGGGGAACCATCTTGTGTAGCTGCTCTGCAAGCCCCTCCACTGAGGGGGCTGTGCTGTGTTGCTACAACAGGACCTCTTTGAACCATCTCTGGGCTTGGTGGGGAAATTCCAGAGCTGCTGTCCCTTCGTCCCCATGAGGACAATGGCTGGAGGCAGTGAGCACCAAGCAAACAGAGCTGTGTCTGTCTGGCAACTCGAGGCTGAAACACTGCTGCAGTCTCTTTGAGGACTGGAGCCCTGGAGGAGATGCCTTCTCAAGCCCGGGCTGTCAGTGCCACCATACAAGGGCGGTATTGATTTCTGCAGGCCAGATCCCAGGCTGATGCAAAGCAGTGAAGCCCCAGGGGCTCTGGGGAGAGCTGGGCCTTGCTACGTTCGCTTTCCTCCTGAGTCTGTCCCCAGTGTGGGGTGACAGTGGCTCTGGCTAGGCTAAGCTCAGCATTTGGTGGGTGGGAGAGGTTGCAAAGCTGCCTTGGGTAATGTTTCCTCTCTCCTCAGATGCCTTTGACAACGAGCTGATCGTGAAAACGCTCAAAGAGATCACAGAAGGGAAGACGGTCCAGATTCCTGTCTATGACTTTGTCTCCCACTCCAGGTCTAACAGCTTCTCCTGCCTTGCTGTGCCTCTGCTAATGCCCTGCGGTGCCGCATGCAGCCCTGCCAGCCCAAACCACCTGCCCCTCTGCTTGCACCCGCTCTTAGGCGCCTGACATACCAACCGAAAGTTCCAAACCTAACTACTCCAGACCCCTTGGTTAGAGGATCCAGAGCAGATACAGGTGCAGTCTGAGGGTCTGGAAAGCTGTGCAGCCATGCAGGGGCATCCAGCAACATACAGGCATCAGCAGAGGGGGATTATGCCCCCCCCCCCCTTTTCTTGCCCCATCCACACTTCTCTCCCCATAAACTCTGCAGCTTTAACAAGTATTCCAGGCTCAAACAGCCTGGCACTGCCAGGAAAGGAAGAGGATGGTCGTTCTTGCTCCTGTAACTCTTCCCTTGCATGTGTTCAGCTTGTTTTTCCATGCCTGTGTTGGTTGTGGGTGGTGTGACCCTGCTCCATTTCCCACAAAAGCGCTGTGGTGTCAGGGGAGTGCTGCCTGGTTCCCAGGGGAGCAGAGCTGGTCCATGCAGGTTCCTGTGGGTCAAGTCCCATGCATAGGTTTTCTGGGTTTTACGGCTTGGCACATAACACTTGCAAGCAGCAGCTGGCCAAAATGTGTGGGGGGGGAGGAGAGCTAGGCTGCTTCCTGCTCTGCTGTTTGTCCTTCTAGGAAGTGTACATATGCCTTGGATTCCCTCCACCACGGTGGGGTAGGTCTGCCCTCTCCTTGTTTGCTCCCCTGGTGCAGCAGTGATGTCCCAGGGTTGGAGCAGTGCCTAGG